CAACTTGTCTTGAGGCTGAAGTACTTTCAAGTTGGCCACTTATCCAGCGATTTGAAAAATTGCATTATCTTTCGCTAGTTTTATTTGATCCAGTGTGTCATGGTAAGGTAAGATGGTAATTTTAAAGAAGACGAAGACGTCTTCGTCTTCTTTACAACAAGAACCTGGGGCACGCATATTCGCTTCTGTTCATGGTAATTTTAGCCCATTTAAGAAAATCGACAGGAGCCTCCTAGCTCAGGTGGTAAAATGGGTAATTATAGTAAAGGCCTCGTCTCTCATCACTGTTTCGACTCCAAACGATGCCACGTAACGTTCGATGATCTAAGGGCACGTGGTTTAATCGCGCATTAGTCAAAATTGGGAGTTGATGAAGTACTGGCAAAGATTACTCCCGAATTATTATCCGTCGCCAGTCAGTCATACACAATCCCAGTTTTAAAGCACGTAGAGAGTTTGGCATTGGATGTACGTTACTCGCGCTTTAGTACTTCTAACATTCTACCGTCGACGCACGGAGTCGTCTTTGTGAGAATTTTGATCGGAAACGCTTACTATTGTGGAAGTGCCTGCACCGATCAGGTAATATGGCGCCATCATCCGTTGCCTCTTATTTAAATGTATATATATAATGTCTGTAAGTATTCCAGATCATGCTTATTTGCAGATCTTAATATCCAACGGGACGAACCTGTACCGTACTCCGATCGATAGACGTAATTCTAACATAGGTAGTACTTCCGAGGGCAGAATTCAGGAGAGCGGGGTTGTAACTCTGCGTTAGAGCGTTCAAATCAATAACTAAAGATCCCCGCTTCGACCAAAAGGTACTGCTAACCTGGGGTAGAGCTAGTCTGACTGATGACGGCTAATAAGTCAGAAATGGTCAGCCCAGTACTACTTGTGTCATTTGTAGTTCCTTCAACAAGTATTCCTAATGGCTACGCGATAGATTTCGCGACAATAAATGGAGCCCTAGGAGGAAAATTCACAAGCACGTCCCGCTACCCGATCGATGAACGTAATTCCACTTGTGTGTCGCTGTATGGTCCCTTTTTGTTTAGCGTACTTTCTGCCGCGTAGTTAAGGTTTTGGTGTTAGGATATGTTGATTTGCTCAGAAATAAATGAGCACAGTTGACGAAAAAATATATGTTAATATGGAGATTTAGGGAAAAATTTGAAAATAATTTTAAATATAATTTTTCGGTAAAAGGTGGTAACAATAAAGAGCAGAGAACGTGATTAAAAATTGACCCATAAGCTAATTACATAAGCTTGAGAACAGGTACTACTCCACGCATTTCACCTGCTCTAAGTGTCGAAAATTAGGTAAAAAAACAGCTCAGAACATTGATACAAAGTGTTTATCTATTGCATCCTTTTTATGGAAAATAATTCTTCGTAGAGGCCTTAATTTCTATAGGACGAAAAATATTAGCTATCAAGGCTGATTGTTTATATTTCCATACGATGTATGTTATACTGTTTTTTACATTCCCACTGTTGTGGGTTTTCTCTGAATTTGTTTTATGTAAGCTCATTTGCGTCCTTGAAATAACCAATCAACACTCGTAAGTACCGCAAAAACAAATCTGGTAGGTGTTACGCACTTTCAAGTGGGCCAGCAATTAACCTTATTTTGACCTGGCCTGTAAACTGGCAAAAAATAAACAAATACAAAGCCTTACGAAACTATAATACACAAACTGCATCACGAGGGTGAGAAAATATTCTGCATTCTTGAAATACTAAATATATCCTCTTCTGCTACAATTTTAACATAAGCATTCAAGCGCCTAAAGAAATGTAATATTAGATGAATGATGCAATGAAATGCTACATGGAACTGAGCCTTGATCGAAAATTGTATGCTTTTTTTCTCCAAATGGTGTCATTGATTTTGACGGCCTTTATAAATTCAAATAGATTTTAATTAAATCAAGGGAATTTCGCCTTCTTTAAATGTGATATTTAAAGAAGGGTATCCTTCGGTTTTAGAAACATTTTTAATCATACGTTTTTTTAGGCTGTGAGGTGTTCATTCATAATACATTGTATCCGTCAAGTTTTCATTGCTCCCTATAATGTATTGCAACATTTTATGCATTGCATCGCTAATCGGCATTGAGTACGTTTGTAATACTGTTTATTGTGCAGTCGAATCATAAGTCTTTCAAGTCATGATAGGATGCCGGCTTGTAAACGAGCTTCGTTCTGACCGTTAAGATAAAAGGGCTAATGTAAACAATGGCTACTTAAGTAATATGCATTTTATCATTGAGTTTGACGGCCTTTATAAATCTAAATATATTTTATGGACAACATACATGAAAATGTTCTTTTTTGTAACCGTTAAGCAGCACATTACGCCTGCTTTAAATTTTCTACTTCAAGAAAGGGTATCTTTCGGTTCCAAAAATTTTTCCAAATTGCTGAATAATTTTGAAACCTACTGACTGCCCCACCTAAATTCAAGGTTTACAAACTGCGCAGTGTGTACATCCTGTTTAAGGAAGAGTACGTTTTTACCTACGGTTTAAGGAAAAAGTAACATAGTTCTCAAGTTTACAATAGATGTGGATCATGCTCCATAAATTATAGGATACAATGTATTGTGAATGAACACCTCACAGTCTTAAAAAATCTCATAACTAGGAGCTTTTCTAAAACCAAAAGGTACCCTTTTTACGTGTAAAATTTAAATAAGGCGTAATTTCTTACCAAACAAGAATGATAAAATATATTTTAGTACATTTAGTACATATTTGAATTGTTACAGACAGTCAAAATCCGTGATAAAAATGCGTACTATTTAAGTAGCTATTTTTTACCGAATTTAATTTTTGCAAGCGGTCAAAAAGAAGCTCATTAAAGAGCCAGCATCCTGGCATGACTAAAAAGACTTGAATTTAGACGGCACAAAAATCATTATTGCAACTCTACTTAATGTTGGCCAGCGAGTGATCACCAGTCTTTCGCAAACTGCGACATTCTGCTTGCAGCGCTCGCCATACTGTATGTATACAAATCACATGAGAAAGGTTAGCCTTCATACAGGTGTTTGCAATCTGGCAAACCATGCATATAATCCACAAATACAACAGAACACAAAGTATACAAATATATATGCATAGTATTTACCTCCTCATTTTTGGCATATAAACCTTCACATCGACACACCGGACAGCAGTCATGCCCGGCAGTACGACCCGAAGCCCACGTATAAATACAACCGTAGCAGAATCGGTGCTCATTTTGGCACTGGTAGACATCCTTAATGATAGCGTAGCTGGAGATGTAAGAAAACAGTGAGACCAGTGAATCCATTCGACCTTACAATGTAAGGAAACCATTAAAAAGGAAAAAAGGGTGAAGTGACTTGTAAATTTGGTAAACACGACAGTTTATACGTTCTAGGCTTTGGAAGTCACCATCATCATTAAAAAAAGATGGTATCTTAAATTAGACTTGCGATGCCCAGTTATCTTATCAAATAATATTACAGGAGTTACTTAGTTACATAACTTACGAAACCTACGTTTGGTTATTAGCATGCAAGTGATTTTTGGACCGGAACAGGGACACATCTTTTTCTAGTAGGCGTTAGACGAAAGCTTAAACTGGCTTTGCATGTGGCGTACTTTGGACGTGAATCGGACAGGTCACTAGAGGGGAGGAGAGGGTATAACTGATTCTAAGGTGTCCTTCCTCGTGTAACTTCAGCACATTTTGTCAGTGTAACAAACTCGCCCTGCTAAATATGGTAAGTTGGAATTTTGACGGCTTTTTAGATAAC